CAGTGAAGTAACACAATACAAAGTTAATATACAAAAGTCAATAGTCTTTGTATACATAAACAATACACAGAAGCGTAAGGGTAGAGAAAACCCCATTTATAATAGCAAGAAGGAAGGTGAAATACTTAGGATGGGGGAGTAGGAAGACCCTGAGCTCACCTCCATCCATGGGCACACCAAAATTACAACTATTTACAGAACAATTACCAATGAGAACAACCTGAAGACTAGGAGAAAAGATTTTCCACAACTAAAGAGATAAAGAAGGAACCACAGGGGCTTCCCTGGTGGCGCAGTGGTTGAGAGTCTGCCTGCTGATGCAGGGGACACGGGTTCGTGCCCCGGTCCGGGAAGATCCCACATGCCGCGGAGCGGCTGGGCCTGTGAGCCATGGCCGCTGAGCCTGCGTGTCTGGAGTCTGTGCTCCGCAACGGGAGAGGCCCACTTACCGCAAAAAAAAAAAAAAAAAAAAAGAAGGAACCACAGTAAGATGGGTGGGAGGGGCAAACATGCCATATAGTCAAGACCCACATCCCCAGGGAGGTGACCCACGAACAGGAGGATAATCACAATTGCAGAAATTCTCCCCATAGAGTGAGGGGTCCAAGCCCCACATCGGACTCCCTGGACTGAGAGTCCTGCATCAGGAAGACAAGCCCCCAGACATCTGGCATTGAAGGCCAGCAAGGCTTGCGTACATATATGTGATGGTGTTGGGAAAATGGACAGCACATGCAAAAGAATCGAACTGGACTACTTTCTCACACCATACCACAAAAAGATCAAGATGGATTAAAGACTTAAATGTAAAACCTGAACCCATAAAACTCTGTGAACTAAAATATACTATGCTCTTTGACATCCATCTTAGCAATTTTTTTTTGGATATGTCTCCTTAGGCAAGGGAAACAAAAGCAAAAATAAACAAGTGGGACTACATCAAACTAAAAAGCTTTTGCACAGAGAAGGAAACTAGCATTAAAATGAAAAGGCAGTCTACTGGATGGGAGAAGATATTTGCAAATGATATATCTGATAAGGGGTTAATATCTAAAATATACAAAGAACTCAGCATCAAAAAAGCAAACAACCCAATTAAAAATTGGGCAGAGGGTCTGAATAGACATTTTTCTAAAGAAGACTACAGATGGCCAACAGACACATGAAAAGATGCTCAACCTCACTAATCATCAGGGAAATGCAAATCAAAACCACAGTGAGATAATCACCTCACACCTGTCAGAATAGCTATTCTCAGAAAAACAACAAATAATAAGTGTTGGCAAGGATGTGGAGAAGAGAACCCTCATGCACTGTTAGTGGTCATGTAAATTCGTGCAGCCACTATGGAAACAAAATGGAGGTTCCTCAACAAATTAAATATAGAACTACCATCTGATTCAGCAGTTCCACTTCTGGGCATTTTTCCAAAGAAAACAAAAATACTAATTCAGAAAGATATATGCACCCTTATGTTCATTGCAGCATTATTCACAGTGGCCAAGATGTGGAAGCAACCTAAGTGTCCATTGATAGATGACTGGATAAAAAAGATGTGGTATATATACACAACTAAATATTACTCAGCCATAAAAAAAAAAAATGAAATCTTGCCATTCGTGACAGCCTGGTTGGACCTAGAGCGTATTATATTGATACTAAGTGAAATAAATCAGGCAGAAAAAGACAAATACCATATGATTTCACTTCTATGTGGAATCCAAAAAACAAGACAAACAAATGAACAAGATAAAACAGAAACAGACTCATAGATACAGAGGATAAACGAATGCCAGAGGTATCAAATAAATACGTAACAGGGATGTAACGTACAGCATAGGAAATGTAACAACTTTTAAGGTGACAGATGGAACCTAGACTTAGTGTGGTAATCATTTTATAAAAACATCAAGTCACTGTGTTGTACACCTGAAACTAATAGGTCATTTACACTTAAATTTTTTTAAAAATTTAAGTACTTAGGAATTTTCATAAGTATACAAAGTACAAGTATATATGAGGAAATTTTTAATACAGTTCTGGAAGACACAAAAGCAGGCGTACAAATGGAAAACGTCCCCTGTTCTTGAGTAGGACAATTCAACTTTATAAAAGATGTCAGTTCTCCTGAAGTTGGTTTATAAATTTAATTCAGTCCTAATAAAAACAGCAAACTATTTATGGAGTTAAATAAGTTGATACTAAGTTCGTGTGAAAAAATAAACGTCTAAGAATAGACAAGAAAACAATGAAAAAGAAAAACTACAAGGGAGGAATCGCCCTGCCAGATACTAAAACATACAATAAATCCTCTGTAATTAAAATCCTGTGGTACTAATGCTTGATGGACAATTGGCCTGTGGAATAGAAGAGAAAGCCCAGTATTAGACCCAAATACATATTAGAATTTATAGTATGATAAAGGTGGCATCTCAAATCACTGCATTTTTAATAAATGTTAGTGGGACAACTGGATAGCCATTTAGAAAAAGATAAAATTAAATCCAATATATCTCACACCGCTACACAAGAATAGCTCCAAATGGATTAGGGATCTAAATGTAAAAAAGGAAACCATAAAATGTCAGAGGAAAACAGGGCTGACTTTCTCTTTAACCCTGGTGTAGGAAATGGCTTTCTAATTATGACTCAGATACTAGAGGTAATAGATAGATGAATTTGACTACATAAAAATTATAAATTTTTTCAATCATCATAAGGGAAGTCAAAAGACAAAGGCCCACCCGGGAGAACATATTCACAACATATACCACAAAGGCTTAATATGCCTGATATACGAAGAACTCCTGAAAATTGAGGGGCAAAGGATCAAAATCCCAATAGAAAAATGGGGAGGGGACTTCACTGGTGGCGCAGTGGTTAAGAATCCGCCTGCCGGGCTTCCCTGGTGGCGCAGTGGTTGAGAGTCCGCCTGCCAATGCAGGGGACACAGGTTCGTGCCCCGGTCCGGGAAGACCCCACACGCCGCGGAGCGGCTGGGCCCGTGAGCCATGGCCGCTGAGCCTGCGCGTCCGGAGCCTGTGCTCTGCAACGGGAGAGGCCACAGCAGTGAGAGGCCCGCGTACCGCAAAAAAAAAAAAAAGAATCTGCCTGCCGATGCAGGGGGCACGGGTTTGAGCCCTGGTCCAGGAAGATCCCACGTGCTGCAGCGCAACTAAGCCCGTGAGCCAGAACTACTGAGCCCATGTGCCACACTGAAGCACGTGCACCTAGAGCCCGTGCTCTGCACCAAGAGAAGCCAGCACAATGAGAAACCTGCACACCTCAATGAAGAGTAGCCCCTGCTCGCCACAACTAGAGAAAGCCCAGGCACAGCAACGAAGACCCAACGCAGCAAAAATTAAAATATATAAATTAAAAAAAGAAAACCTTTTAAAAAAAATGGGGAAGATACACAAATAGACAATTCACTAAAAGATAAGATAAAAAAAATGATCCTCAAACATATGAAATGATGTGCAGACTCACTCATAATTAGAGAAATGCAAATTAAGACAGCACTGGAATACCATTTCTAACCTATCCAACTGACCAAAATTAAATCATATGACAGCATATTCTTGGCCAAGACTGGAGAAAAAGGCCTCTCATACCTTGTTGGTGGGAATGCACATTGGTACACTCCTTCTGGAGGGGAATTTGGCAACACCTAACAAAACTACATACATATACACTTACCTTGTAACCTAGAAATCCCACTTCTAGGGTAGGTGTATCTTCTGGGTGTATCTGCACCTCCAATTCTTAAGAAAATGTGTGTGCACAAGATTATTCTTTGCAGCCTTGTTTGTAGTTACAAAGTATTGGAAACACCTAAATGTTCATACATAAGAGGGTGGTAGTATTCAACCTTGGTTACTCTACATAATGCAGCAATATGCAATTCTGAAAAAAGAATAAGGAGGAGCTCTATGAATAATTACGGAGTGACTTTCAGGACATACTGTGAAGTGAAATAAACAAAGCCCGAAAGAGCATCTACAGTGCACTGCCCTTCATAGGAGAAGAGGAGACAGATGCTCGTTTGTGCAAAAGAAATACAGCAAAGGATAAAGTGGAAACATAAGGGGCTGGTTACCTCGAGCAGGGGGGGGGGGGGGGGGGGGAGGCAGAGAGAAGTGTGAAGAGGGTGGTGGGAATGAGGAGGGAGTGACATTTCTCTGGCCCTTACAGCTAGAGTCGTGTTAACACTCCCTTCACAGTCTGTAGTGATGGGCTGTCACTGTGCTTGTGTGATTCCATCACCGTGAACCTTCGATCTGACCTAGTGCGAAAATACTTAACGTTAAGTGTTATGCAGTATAAAAGGGAATTTTCTACTTAACAGCTCTTGTCTAGGAGATATCAGAGCAGAATGCTTGTTTCACTACAACAGTTCTAACCAACAACAATGAGGATTGTTTTAACCAATTCCTTCCTGTCCAGAGCACTGGTTTTTAGCGCTTAATCAGTTTCTCCTTTCTATCCCTTGAAAACCCTGACTTTACATCAGAAGGGTGAACACTGGTTATGTTCTTTTCCCTGGCAAGTTAGTCATTTTGGTTTTGGTGAGTTTTGTTTTTTGTTTTTGTTTATGATTCTGCCTCTGATGGTCTTTGATTTTTGGCAACAGATAAGTGAAATATTTACATAATTTGAGGTGCCCCTATACACTTCTTATCGAAATTTCTCTTATAACCAAGTGTTTTAGCCAAGTTTTGCAAATGTATAAATGAATAATTTGTTTCATCTTCCTTAAATCCCTCTGCATCATCCACAGATGCAGATGATAATGTACCGTGAAATTATCAAAAGACATCAGGCAGAGAGAGGAGCAGGAAATGAGCGAGGGGTGGTTAATTCATTGGCAGCTTCCCAGACCCTGCAGGGTCAACAGTGGATCTGTATCTTTGACTGTGTAAATAAAATCATGGACGCTTTTACCCTTTTTCGATTCATCTTGGACATGTCGTTGATGACTCTGGCATTTCTCATTTCAGGAATGACCATACCCGAAGAAGATGCCGACGTGGGACAAAGCAGTAAATATTGCCTTGTGGCAATTGGAAGACTCCAGGTAAGAAAAAGCTCACAGCCTTTTTGATCTCCAGGGAAGGCTTATTATTGCAAAGAGCAAGAGCCTGTAGGTTTGGATGCCTTTTTCGAACTCCTGTGTCCTCAGTATTGTTGGGTTCTGTGTCTCACCCTGTGGGAGAAGGATGAGGCTGAATCTGGGAGAAGAAGGGGGGCAGGGACTCTGAGCTGCGGGCAGCAGAAGCAAGCTGTCCTTGCTTCACTGAGGGCCTGAGTCAGTCCGTCTCCACATGTGCGCCAGTTACTGCAAAGTTGAGCTCTGCTTACATCACACCCGGGTTTTTAAAATATTTTTTATTGAAGTATAGCTGATTTACAATATCATGTTGGTTTCAGGAGTACAGCAAAGCGATTCAGATATATAGAGAAAGATAAATAGAAATATAGATAGATAAACAGATACATAGACAGAGACATAGATAGACGCATAGGCACATAGATAGATATTGGGTTGGCCGAAACGTTCGTTCACGTTTTTCGGAAAAACACGAACGAACGTTTTGGCCAACCCATTGCATAGACAGGTATATCTTTTTCAGATTCTTTTCCATTATAGGTTATGACAAGATACTGAATATAGTTCCTCGTGCTACACAGTAGGACCTTGTTGTTTCACACCCCTGTTTAATCCCCTTGAATGTTGCCCCATCATCTGCAAGATAAAGCACTCACTCATCTTACAGCCCCACCTCCTTCCTCCCCCCTCATGCCCTGTTCCCAAACGACAGCACGCCCTTTCCACAAGCCCACCGTGCACTTCCCCACTGTTGCAGGTGTCCATGGGCTGTTCCTTCTGCCTGGTGTTTCCTTGTTTCCCTTCTTCTCCTTTTACAACTCCTTCTCCTCTTGTTTACTTCCTATTTCGTCATCCTTCAAGATCCAGTGAAATGACTCCTTTATCTGCTTAGTCAAAATGAATCACCCCCTCCTCCCTACACGCCTGGCATTATGTTTATATGTCAGTTCTTCACTGTCTGTGTTCGTATAGTTAGTTGAGGGCAGTCCCCTTCCTTGCAAGCTCCTCAAGGGCAAAAAATGTGTCTTTTTAATCTTTTGAGAATTAGATATGCTGAATAATGTATATGAAGTCCGCTGGCTTCATGCCTGGCACACACAGTAGCCACTCAGTCTTTCTCCTTGTGGCATCGAGGGCCCTCCCCGTACTGATGAAGGGGCCATGACAGATGTAGTTCAGAGGACACTGACCTTTCACATCCCTGGTTTCCTAGGTCTTACCATTTTCAGACAGATGAATAAGCTATTCCATTCACATGTGATAAGCATTGGTTATTCCTTGCAAATGGGGAAGAAAGAACACTTGGGTAAATTCAGTTCACAAATATAGACTTTCCAAATATTTTGACCAGTTCCTTAGACTCATTTCCCATCCTTAGTAATGGGAAGGTGGGGGAAGGGAAGGGTGTTAACATTTCTGAGCACCAGCTGTGTGCCAGGTGTTGTGCCAGGGTTTGACGTGCAGTGTCGCTCTGAATCTCACAACCACCCTATGAGGTTACAACTCCCTAATTCCCAAGGACTGATAAGGAAACGGGCTCAGAAATGTAAAGAAAGTCGTCCACTCTTCCGGTGAGTCCAGGGTGTGGCCAAGGCAGTTTGAAACATTTTAAACTCATTGTACTCATGACCTGGAAGGATCTGTGAAATTAAATCCACATGGGGGAATTCCTTGGTGGCGCAGTGGTTAAGAATCCGCCTGCCAATGCAGGGGACACGGGTTCGAGCCCTGGTCCGGGAAGATCCCACATGCCGCGGAGCAGCTAAGCCCGTGCACCACAACTACTGAGCCTGCGCTCTAGAGCCCGCGAGCCACAAGTGTTGAGCCCACATGCCACAACTACTGAAGCCCGTGCGCCTAGAGCCCGTGCTCCGCAACAAGAGAAGCCACCGTAATAAGCCTGTGCACCGCAACGAAGAGTAGCTCCAGCTCACCGCAACTAGAGAGCCCGTGTGCGGCAACGAAAACCCAACGCAGCCAAAAATAAACAAATTAATTAATTTTTTAAAAAATCCACACGGATTGTTCCCATTCTCTAACTCAATCTCCATCACCACCTCCCTGTGGATTTCTCCATCCAGGTGACCAGCTCTCCTGTGTGCATGGACATGAGCGGGATGTCGGTGCCAACGGAATTCTTATCCCGGCATAACTCTGACGGGATCATCACATTTGTGGACCCAAGATGCATCAGTGTGATTGGCTACCAACCCCAGGTAGGTGGTTTTGAGCTCATGGCAGTCAGCTAGAGATTTAGTTTTACTTAAAATGCACCTACTTCATTTGTTCGAGATATTGTACATCACAATATAGGGAAACACAGGGTAAAAATCCATCTCCCTACCTGGGTACAGTAATGTCGTTCCAAAGCAAAAAAGAACATTGTATGCCACTGCACTGCTTAAAATTAACTCTCCATTTTTTGTCCTAACCACTTCGTTTAATCTAAATGATTTTTCTCAAACTAGAATTAAGATGCTCTATGAAAAAGAGGCTCTCTGATCAATTAAGTTTGATTAACACCAAACGGAAAATCTCCTTAGAAACTTTAAAAGTATATTAGTGTGAAAGATGCTGAAAAGTCTTAAAGATGTTCAATTAATTTTGTCTAACTGCTTGTTTCTCAAATGTATTTGGAACCTCTTTTTACAGGGGGCACATTTTCAAGGCCTTTCTTTAAAAAAAGTCTATGAGAAACACAGAAGTCATAAGAAACACCAAAAGGCAGGAGAGATTTTTCCAAATTAAGATAAACCAAAGAGATAGAATAAGAATATTAATGTAAGAGCCTTAATTGGGTCCTCAGCCTGAAGACTTATAAAGGACATTTGGGAGGAAATGTTAATATGTATGGAATAATGGGTGATTTTATCAAATAACTATTGATTTTTTTTAGGCATAATATGGTATATTATGGATTTGTGAGATGGTGTCATTTTTATGAGATACATATTTCAGGGGAAGTGTCATGATTTCTGCTAATTATTTTCAAATGATTCAACAAAAAATTTTAAAATATATGTGTATATGAAAGATATTTCATTTCTATATATTTTATGTTTCACTTATATATTTATGTTTACATATATATGAAAGAAAGAGGAAAATGCAAATGTGGCAAAATATTGGCAATTGATGAATCAAGCTAAACAACACACAGGTGTTTATTATACCACCCTTTCAACTTTTCTGTAGATTTAAATTTTCAAAATAAAAAGCATTTGAACAAAAAAGAAAGAAAAAAAAGGAACAAAGTTTGGGATATGTTGATATGGGTATTTTAATTATATATATATTTTTATAAATTCGTTTATTTTATTTATTTTATTTTTGGCTGAATTGGGCCTTTGTTGCTGCACGCGGGCTTTCTCTAGTTGCGGCAAGCGGGGAATACTCTTTGTTGCAGTGTGCAGGCTCATTGCGGTGGCTTCTCTTGTTGCAGAGCACAGGCTCTAGGCACGTGTGCTTCAGTAGTTGTGGCACACAGGCCCAGTAGTTATGGCTCACAGGCTTAGTTGCTCCGTGGCATGTGGGATCTTCCCGGACCAGGGCTCGAACCCGTGTCCCCTGCATTGGCAGGCGGATTCTTAACCACTGTGCCACCAGGGAAGTTCCCCATGTAGATTTAATTTCACAGCTCCTTCCAGGTCATGAGTACAATGCGTCTAAAATGTTTCAAACTGCCTTGGCCACACCCTGGACTCACCAGAAGAGTGGACCACTTTCTTTACATTTCTGAGCCCCAGTTTCCTTATCAGCCACCAGGGAAGCCCACATATATATTTTAGAACAGACCAAATTGAAATATTGGAACCATTCATATAATTCTACATCTCTAGGTTGATGGCAAACTTCAGATTTTGGACTGGAATGATGGGGAAAATTAATCTGTTTCCAAAATCACCATAACCTCTGATGGCCCTCTGTTTCCAGCCAGATCCATTTATCCGCTGGCACCTTCCATGGGCATCTAGATGCTTTTTGGCACACAAATAAGACTTCCTTTCCACCGTCAGTGTCCGCTCCCACTGAGGCCATTTGCGGATTTGGGTTCTGATCGATGACTTAGTTTAAATCCTTTGCCATTTAAGGCACTTCCAACTGGACCACTTTCCTACAACGCATTTGCCTTTTGACGGTTTATCTTTTTATAGTTGGTTTCATTGCAAAACACTTTTGTTTGGGGTTAATGCTGGGTCCTTTGAATAAAACATAGAGGAGCAAAGGTAGGTAGTAAACAGGCTTTTAGCAAGTACAGTTATTTTATGATAACAGCATTTCTCCAGGCACGAGAGAGCTGCAGTTTCCCCATTTAAACAATTCCAGTTTTCATAGGCAACACATCTGACCTCGTGCTATCATTTGCGTTCTTTTTGTTTATTAAAATGTTTATTACAGTTTGCCTGTGCAGTTTGCCTCTCCAAGGCAAACAAAAATAAAATTGCATTTTGAAACTGCTGCTCTAATGCCTTAGCAAAATTAGAAGTCGGTGTTGAACATGCCGAAAGGACTGAGGATAGCGTACCAGACGCCAGCTCCATGATTGCTCAAAGAGAAAATTTGTATCCACTTTTTTCCCCCTAATGATGGTGTGAGCTAAAGGGTTGAAGGGGGTGTATGTGAGCGCTCTTGTCTAACGGTGAGATATAAAAAAATGAAATGTGGGATTGGAGATGATTAAAGCTTGTCTCTTTGTTTAGGATCTTCTAGGAAAGGACATTTTGGAATTCTGCCACTCTGAGGACCAGAGCCATCTGCGGGAGAGCTTTCAGCAGGTACCACCAGTGCTCATTTACAGGTGACGTAGAAGCCGGCTACACACGGATGTAGTCCTTCGATGTGCCAGGCAGGCCAAGCAGGGTCCCACCGAAGGCATCAGTCGGGGCCCCTGCCGTGAAGGGGCTCGCAGTCCAGCGGGGACGGCAGACCATCAGGAAGGAATTTCTGTTCGTGGGAGAAGAGCAGAGGAGGGAGAGGTTGACAGTGTGGGGAAGAGGCCGGAACAGTCTCCGAGGGGAGGCAACAATTGGGATGGGTCTTAAACGATGAGCAGAGAAGAAACGACATTCTAGACTGAGGGGCCAGCACCTGAGATGCAAAAGAGCATGGCTTTTTGGGCGAGTTATGAGTAGTTCCTCACGGCTGGAGTGACCCTGGCCGGCTTGTGGGGAGGAGGTGGGCAGTGGTCAAAGATGAGGCCGGTGAGGCCAAATTCTGAAGGGCCTCATGTGCCATTGCGAGGTGCTTAAATCCTCTCCTGAGTCGTTTAAGTGTGGATTCCCTTGAGGATTTGAAGTGGAGCAGTGTTTTTGAAAAACAATTTTGGCAGCCCAGGTATGCAGAAGAGACAAGGGTACGAAATAACTGGAACAAAAGACAAATTGGGAGCCTGCTTCAGTCGCCCAGGTGAGAGGTGGTGAAATGGGGCAGGAGCAGCAGAGGAGGCGGTTGTGGGGTTAGTGATGCTTTGGATAGAGACAGTGAAGGAGAGAGAAGGATTGAGGATGACCGTGAGGGTCTGAGAGGAAGGCCACACTACTGACTGCATCCCGAGCAGCATTATGACCAGCTGCTGTTTATTGAGCACCTACTATGTGCCAGGCGCTATGGAAATCCCTTTCGCACACACTGCTTTCCTGAATCTTCATGACAGTCACGGGAGATGGGCATTATTATCTTCATGCTACAGGTGAGTCAAGTGAAGCTCAGTGAAGGAAGAGCACCTTAGGGCAGGCTTCTCACTGAGGACCTGCCACCTCCTGAGCCCGGGTCCACCTGGGAGGAGAGAGAGAGAGCCAGTTTCACAAAGGGCTCCGGCGACTCGCTTCAGCCCCCGCAAAGAAAAGGACGGGTAATGTTACAGCAGAGGGGCCTTTAAATGACTTTTTAAGAGGGAATAATAGTTCGTCATTCATCTGAGAGAATAAGTCCTTGACATTCTGCTTTACAAGTGTTTCAGAATGAGGGCCTCTGACAGCTGAGCTCTCCTATTAAAGGCCTGGGTATGTCTGCACAAATAGATCTAGTGCTCCAATTACACGCCTCCTGCGCACGCAGATCGTGTAACCCCTCCTGCGCGCTCCGCTCTGTTCTTCCCAAACATCACCAGCTCCTGGTTTTCTTTCCACCTGTCAGACCGCTTTGTTGTCCCTCTTCTGCCTGCGTCTCCAAGCCATGATGCCCTAGGGCTCCGTTACTGACCTTCTCTCCTTCTCTCTAATATCCCCCAGGCGATTTTTTTCATTAAAAAAAATGTTACTGGAGTATAGTTGATTTATAATGTTGTGTTAGTTTCAGGTGTACAGCAAAGTGATTCAGTTATACGTATACATGTATCCATTCTTTTTCAGATTCTTTTTCAGATAGGTTATTACAGAATACTGAGTAGAGTTCCCTGTGCTATATAGTAGGTTCTTTTTTTTTTTCTGGTGCTCGGGCCTCTCACTGCTGTGGCCTCCCCCGCCGCAGAGCACAGGCTCTGGACGCACAGGCCCAGCGGCCACGGCTCACAGGCCTAGCCACTCTGCGGCGTGTGGGATCCCCCCGGACCGGGGCACAAACCCGCGTCCCCTGCATCGGCAGGCAGACTCTCAACCACTGCGCCACCAGGGAAGCCCTATAGTAGGTTCTTGTTGGTTATCTATTTTATATACAGTAGTGTGCGTATGTTAATCCCAAGCTCTTAATTTATCCCTCCCCCCCCCCAGTGTTTCCCCTTTAGTCACCATAAGTTTGTTTTCCAAATCTGTGAGTCTGTTTCTGTTTTGTACATAGGACAAATACCGGTATGATATCACTCATAGGCAGAATCTAATTTTTTTTAATGATATAAATGAACATATTTACAAAACAGAAACAGACTCTCCCAGGCGATTTTATCCACTGGATGACTTCAGTCCAGACCATCGCCTGCGGATATATAGGCACCTACCCCACCCTTGCGCTCGAATGCCCATTAACCTTCAAATATAGAATGCTCGATTCTCTTCTCACAGCCCACAGTCTCCCTTGCACCACTGTCTTTCTGGTTGCAAAGGCCAGAAACCAAGAAACAGTCTTCACTCCTCCCTTGATCTCCCTCCACACATCCAGGCCATCGAGTGCCCCTGTTACACCTCAAGAGACACCCGTAACCCGCCCCGTTCTCCCTCTCTTCGCTCCTACTGACCTTGCCTAGGCCACCCGTCCATATCTCTCATTTTGACTTTTGCAGCAGCTCCCTGGCTGGTCTGCCTGCTTTCACTCTCGTCCGAGGCCAAACCATTCTGAAAACGTAAATTAGATTTCGCCACATCTTTACCTAAAAAGTGCCGGCGGCTTTCCCGGGCACCTAGAAGCAGGTCCCAGCCCCGTACTCAACCACGGATGCAGGAACCTCGCCCTGCGTGTCTCATCCGCATGTGTTCACACATGGGCCACCCTGGCCTTCTTTTGGTTCCTTGAACACATTATGCTTTCTCCCACCTCAGGGCCTTTGCACGTGTTTCCTCTGACCCTCACTCTTCACGTGACTGACACCTCTTAGCTTTTAGGTTTTAACTCCTGTCACCTCAGAGACCCCATCAGTGACTACCCTAGCTGAGAAAGATCCCCTAACCTCCTTCTCAGTCCCTCGTTTTTCCTCCACAGCAACTGTTGCAGTTTTCAATTGTTTTCTTTGTCCATTGATTTCCTTTTTTTTTTTTTTCTGTCTCCTCTACTAAAACATAAGCTCCCTGTGGGCATGCTCCACATCTGTGCTTTTCACCATCGTCTCCACCACTGGCTATGGTGTTTGCATGTGACTGTTCTTAATAAAGTAGTCTAAATGGACCATCACCCACAGCAGGTGACTTTCAGTTTGGAAAAAATGAGAAATCAGAATGGTTAAACATTCAATAAACACTGCTATAGTATATCTCTTATGCCACCTTTGCTACGTATGTGGAAATTATTATAAACCGTGTGGTCTAGCATCGTCCTCTTTGGACTGGGTTGTCTTCATTTTCACATGGAAATGAAGCTCTAACAGTGATGGGACACCCCCCACCCCAGTCACTGTTGGTAACCAGCCAGACCCTTTGTCATACATTATCCTGTATGATCCTCAATCCTTCACAGTATATTATCACCCCCACGTTTTTGCAGTGGAAACCAGGACTCAGAGAGGTTCAGTCACCTGCCCCGAGTCACACAGCAAAGCAATAACAGATCTAGGGCTGGAGCCTGCCTTCTTCCAAAGCCCCACACCGGCCTCACCGTCTGACAGCACCCCTGAGATTTTAAAAGAAAAAGAAGGAATTTAACATCGATCCCACACTGGTATCTGGCTTAAGTAACCCTCGCTCTGAGAGCAGCCACCCCATTCCTCAGGAGGCAAAGCCAAAGCAACCACGCCCTAGAGCCGGCAGCCAGGGCAGGTCACAGGGCTCAGCGGGCAGCAGGCAGCAGCCACAGGGACATCCTGGGGAGCGCCAGGCCTGGGCCCCTCGCTTGTGTTCTTTGGGTTCTAGCCACCAGTGGTCGGGGTGAGGGACAAATGTTGATAAAGGGAAGTGGCTTGTTTTTGCAAAAGCACGGAGGACGCTATGTCAGTTCGGAGTCAGCCCTTGAACTCTGGATTTAAACAAAAGTATTTGAATGGCCCTGACATGAGACCTTAGAGTGGGATCGAGTTTGTGAGGAATACTGTGGTTGGTTTGTGAGGTTGGCTGGGAATCCTGAGTTCGCTCTGGTGTCTGCTCTTGGATTCCCTCTCTGGATCCCAGCTGACCTAGAAGTCAGGTGAAAGAGTGGAACCCAGTGAGATTTAAGACAGGTTCCTTCTTCTCTCCGCTCAGATGCCTTCAGTGGTGACGGTGGTAGCAGTGGTGGTGGTGATGAGTAAAGCTGTTCTCAGGAAGAGCTGGGCTAGGCTGGGTTTATGCCTGGCCTTTGTGATCTAGGACACTAGCATCGCACCTGAATGAGGCGCAGTTGAACGTACCAGCCTGGCCTCCAGGCCTGGACTGTGATACCCACACTGCCTTAACGTGCCTAGTCTCATCCCGCATCGCACCTCAGGTCTCCCCGCCCCCAAACATCTGCTCACGCTGCGCCTTCTGCCAGGAGAGCCCTCCCCAGAAGGCGCAGCATGTTCACTTGCCAACGTTTTACCCAAACCCATCTCCCTCCAGGAACCCTTTCTGGATCCTGAGAAAGGCTGTCTCCTCAACTTGCTGGTAACCTGATCTTGATCTCAGGTGGCCTCGGCCTGCAGCAGCTTGAAGCAGGGCTTCCGGTTCCCGGCCAGAGATTGAAGTCAGGTCGCAGCAGAGAGAGCACTGAATCCTAGCCACTAGACCAGTGGCCAGTGACAAGGCCCTGGCCCTTCAACTTTGCAGAAAAGAATCCCACAAAGACAGAAAGCAGTGAAACAAGTAAAATGTTCATTAGGAAAAAGAATATGTGTGGATAGACACATGGGCGGGCTCAGAGAAAGAATCACTTATAGGGGGCATTTCTTCCCGTTTCCTTTGTCCAGTCACCTTGCTTTGCCCGGTTCTGAGTCCATATTTGATTTATCTCAGGGTCCTCCCATGTGTGCGTGCATCTCTTAGCCAAGGTGGATTCTAGTGAAGAGGCCTACGGGTAGGTTGACATCACCTACTACGGAGTGGCTCCCCTTTCCTTTTTGACCTCCAAGGAGCCTTTCTGCACGTGTGTAGTCGGGAAGGTCTCCTTGCCTTCGAGGATGAGGAATATGTGGTCTTTTATCTCTTATCTGGGTGGGGCCCAGCTCGTCTCTCGCTCCTGCAATCTTGGAGTGTCTGCCCACAGCGGGGCAAACTCCAGCCGCTGAGCCTGGGACCCATCTATCTCCTGCCTCAATCTTATGTTTCTGTAGTGGTATTTGCTCTCTCTGAGTTACAGTTACCCATGCACCTGCCCTGCCTGTGCTAGGTGAGAAGCTCTTTGGGGACAAGGGTTCTGTCTCAGCTATAGTGATTCAAGAAAAGACAAGGGGCACAGGGGTCAGGTAGACCCGGGATCCCATCCTGTCTCTGCCCCTCCTTAGTCATAAGGCTTTGGCAGGATAGTTAACTCCTTTGAGACTCAGTTTCCAGTAACACAAAATACTGCTGTGAGGACTGCGTGAGGTAACACGCACAAGATGCTTGCCCGTCGGCCCCGAGGCGGGTGCAGGGCTGCACTCCCTCCCCCGGCTCTTCAGCCACAGCTCCAAGGGCTGAGCTTGCACACGCCGTGCCTTGGGAGTGTTTGTTACATGGAGTTTAAAAATTTCACACCATCTCAGGCATCCTGCTTAGAGGAAACATGAAAAGGTTCCATCCGCGAGCTTCAGAGTGTGGAAGACGTGGTCTCACGACGGGGGCGCTGCCTGTGTCCTGTGTGCTTTGTGCAGACTCAGAGGAGGACCCCTCAGAACATCGACCTGAGGGACACATGGCCTTGACCTCTGGCCAGCTTCCTGTGGGGGCTGCAGGCCGGCTGGCAGGCACCCCCGAGCGCCCGGCCTGGCCTCGCCACAGGGCTAGGCTTCCTCACGTGAGGTGTCAGGGAGGGTCTCCCCTCCTTGCGCTTTTGGTCTGGTTTCTTTATCACGTGGACTTTCCCACCAGGGAGCCCAGCACCCTCAGGTTTCATCTCATCCTTCTCCCCAGGGGTGGTGCAGAGAGAAGATGGCTGCCCCGGCTGCATCAGCCCAGGGCACAGGGCCAAAGACGCATCAGGTGGGCTCAGGAAATGTGCTCGAGGGGCCTGCTCTGTGCCGGGCCCTGGGCTGAGGGTGGGGGAGACTCGGTGACCGAGGGGTCCCTGCCCCCAGACTGGTTACGGACGTCCAACCTGGAATACAGCACAAGTGCCTCCCCGACCCCTAGGACCAGGTCCCCATTCTCATCTCTGGTCACACTATGGTCTGCAGTCGGGCCTTCCCGTCCCGAAGGCCAGGAGGGGGCGCTCCTGTTTGCCTTGCTTTGTCCTGAGTGCGTGAGCACAGCCAGGCCCAGACGCACCAGCCATCTGTGTCCTTCCTCCTCGTGTTCCTGCTTCAGCCGAGAACTGCCCCTGAGAACGGCTGCTTTCTGCACCTGCGCCCGCCCGCCTCCGCATCCCCGGGTTTCTGTGTGTGATACATCGTGTGTGTCTGCACAGAGCAGGACAGCCAGCCGCGTGTCCGCTGAAACGCGCTCGTGGTTGGGAAGCAAGATCTTGGTTCCTGTCCCAGCTTTTCCACCAAAGTTGTCCGATCTTGGGCAACTTATTTTATTTCTGTGACACTCAGCGTTATCCTCTGTAAATAGTAAAGCCCACCTCACCTAGTTCTTGTGAGGGTTTACATTTGGAAGTATTCTGGAAACCATACTGCAACATAAAAGAAATCGTAGAGGGACTTCCCTGGCAGTCCAGTGATTAAGACTCCACGCTTCCACCGCAGGGAGCATGGTTTCGATCCCTGGTCAGGGAACTAAGATCCTTCGTGCCACACAGCACAGCCAAAAAAAAAAAAGGGTAATAATAGATACATGCATACAAAGAGATAATGCATAGAAATTAGTTATTTTATTTTATCTCCTCCCAGAGAGTATATTTAATCCAATCTACAATGTTAAACAGCGTTTAAGAATTTCTTAATGAGAGGTATGAATACAATGTCACGCCATAGCTGAGTATGAGAGCCTTACTTCACGGGAGCACTGTCACCAAACCCAGAGCGCCCTAGCAGCCCAGGCAAAAAGGGAAACCCTCCAGCTTGCAGGGTTTTCATGATCTGATTTGTAAACGCTGAAACGTTCTGATATCAAATGGGCATTGACTAGTTGGCTTCTCACACGGTGGCGACAGAACAACCTAAATGCAGTGCCCGGCCTCACGGGGGAAGTGGACAGAGGGCTCCCGTCAGGTGACCGCTCTCTCCCACCCCCACCCTCCCTCCGTGCCTGTCTTTGGCTACGATGCTCCTGTCCTGAGCTCCCGCTGGCTGCCTCCCCCTCCTCTGTCTGGCACCATCCTTCCTCCTGCTGACTTCCTTCTCCAAATGTTTGCTCAGGTGGTGAAGCTGAAAGGCCAAGTGCTGTCGGTCATGTATCGATTCCGCACCAAGAACCGGGAGTGGGTGTTAATCCGCACCAGCAGCTTCACCTTCCAGAACCCCTATTCTGATGAGATCGAGTACATCATCTGCACCAACACCAATGTCAAGTACGTACTTTCCCCTCCCGGGACCCCCTTCTCAATTCCCTCCTGAGGTGTGAGACCCCAGTGCTGAGCGATGACCCCCATGGCCCTCCCGCTCCGTCAGCACAGTCGGTTCGAGGTGCTCTGGTTTCCCATGCTGTTTTCTCTGCCGAGCCCAGCAGGGCAGAGCTGGGGGTTTCCTCGTGCCTCCGCCGTGTACCTGCTGCCTGACCTGGTTTCGTGGTCCTGCTGAAGCCGGGGGCAGAGGAGTGAGGCTGAGCCTCTTGGCAGCGCTAGGGTGTCAGGGCAGGCGGCGTGGGGGTGGGCGCGCCCAGGACACGTGGTTTCTCTTCTGCCTGATCACTGGCGCCGTCCTCCCAAGATCTTTGCTGGCGTCACCACCGCTGTGTCCCACACATGTTAACACACAGACCCGAGCTCCGGTCTTGGCCCCCCTGACTTCCCAGCCATGTGATCTTGACTGCTGTGTCCCCTCATTCCTCATGTGTGGAAGGGGTGATAACACCTCCCTGTCAGGTTCCCGTGAGGATTAGATGAGGTCCGGCTCCTAGATACAGGCGGGTCATGCCTCCTCTCCGGACTTCCTCTCGAGGAAATAGAAGTCCAGAGAACCAACAGGAACAAAGGCAAAATGATGTTGAGGTGTGTGGCAGGAATTGCAGCCTTCGGGGGCATGCGATGAGCTGACTGGTGAAACTGTCACCATGGCTCCCCGTACCAGTCAGTGCACTGCTGTCCTCCACTTTCCCAGGTCCGACACTGAGTCCGTGGAGTCTGTTCCCACCCTGGCCACCTCCCATCCTCATCTGCTAACAGCCCCCCCCCGCCCCGGGCACTGATGCCTCCGGGCACTCACTGTGACCTCCTGGCCTCCCTCAGGGCTCTCGGTTGCCATATCCCAGCTCCCTGGGTTTGGGGGTTCCCATCTGCGTCCCACAAAGCAGCCTCCTTTCCAGGCAGCACCCTCAGTGTCTCGGCTTTGGCCCAGCTCCTGGGCCACAAGGCACAGAGCTTGACAGGTGGGTCCACACAAGATCCCTCAGAGGACAGGTGACCTGGGTTTCAATCCCAGCTCCCGCCTGGGCAAGTCACCTGCTCTCTTGAAGCCTCAGTTGCTCATCTGTAAAATGGGGAGAATAACAGAACACCCACCCCCCGCCTCGGATCCTGCGCGTAGACGGTGTGTGTGGATCGCCCTGGCGGAGCAGCAGCCCTGGGCGGTGGGGTCTGCAGCAGTCAGCACCAATGCTCTGGAGGCGGAGTAGCAGCCCTGGGCGGTGGGGTCTGCAGCAGTCAGCACCGATGCTCTGGAGGCGGAGTAGCAGCCCTGGGCGGTGGGGTCTGCAGCAGTCAGCACCAATGCTCTGGAGGCGGCGGCAACCCCTCTGCCACCTGCCACGGCTGCTCGGGTTTCTTGGCTTGTTCTCTACGGGCTGCCCCAGATCCGCTAAGTGCGCGCTTCCTTCGAACCCTGCGCACATCGTGTTGCCTTCCAGCGAACAGAGAAGCCAGGGCCCTCCGCGTTCATGTGGGGGTCTGTCTCCATCCCCTCCATTCCTGCTCTGCTGGCTTCTCCCTCCAGGGCCAAGCCCTCCATTTGCTTTCTAGCTCCCAGCGCATCCTCTGTCTCCCGTGGCCCCTGGGTTCTCGTCCAGTCCCGCCACAGCCTCCCTCCCAGGCCTTCACCTAGCCACGTGGCTTCCTGATCTTGGAAAAACCCTGTCTTGCCAATCCTCCTTGCTTTCCTCCCAGCTGGCCCTGCCACCTGTCTGTACTGGAGCCCCCTCACCATGCATCTCTTTTTGACCCCCGAGAGCCTGGCTGTGGCACCCAGCTCCGCTAACTTGCTTTCCCAGCAGCCACCAGGGACCCCATCAATAACTCGTTCTCAGTGGTCATTCTTCCCAGACTGTCTGGCCAACTCCTCTTTTTGTCTTTTTCTTTTTTTATTTTAATATAAATTAATTTATATATTTATTTATTTTGGGCTGCGTTGGGTCTTTGTTGCTACGCGTGGACTTTCTCTAGTTGCGGCGAGCAGGGGCTGCTCTTTATTGCGGTGCACGGGCTTCTCATTGTCGTGGCTTTCCTTGTTGCAGAGCGCAGGCTCTAGGCTCGTGGGCTTCAGTAGTTGTGGCTCGCAGGCTCTAGAGTGCAGGCTCAGTAGTTGTGGCGCATGGGCTCCGTAGTTGTGGCTCGTGGGCTCTAGAGCGCAGGCTCAGTAGTTGTGGTGCATGGGCTCAGTAGTTGTGGCTCGCGGGCTCTAGAGCGCAGGCTCTGGAGTTGTGGCGCATGGGCTCAGTAGTTGTGGCTCACGGGCTCTAGAGCGCAGGCTGAGTAGTTGTGGCTCATGGGCTTCGTTGCTCTGTGGCATGTGGGATCTTCCCGCACCAGGGCTCGAACCCAACTCCCCTGAATTGGCAGGCAGATTCTTAACCACTGCACCACCAGGGAAGTCCCGACTCCTCTTTCTTTGCATCTTATCCCTCGGCTTACTTGATTCTGATTCTTCTTACACCTCCGTATTCTAGTCAGGACTTTGCTGGTGGTGAGAATAACAGGAGGAAATATAGCTGTAGGTCCAGGTATGCAAAAAGATAATGCCATTATGTTTTAATAACTGACTTTGTCTAGTTACTGCTTGGTAAACTCAGTCAAATCGAGGGGTTTTTGCTTCTCCCACTTCCCCCGACCTGGGCAGGAGAGGGAGCCGAGCAGCACCCGCTAGTGCCAGGCCTATGTCCCGCCCTGGCCTTGGGGAAAATGGTGAATCTCAAGAAACAGGAGGAAGAGTCAGACGGGCAGGGCTCAGGATCCCATGGCTCCTTCTTCATTCCACAGAGGGGATGTGGAGGTGAGACACAGGCCTGACCTCCAGGAGCTCCTAGGGTGAAGGTAACAGGTGTGCTCATTGGCCTGGATCCAGGGACGGGCAGTGGGAGCCCCGGGGGACGAGGCTGAAGTGAGCGAGAGAGCAACAGACCTGCTCGGCATCTGTTCAAGCCACAGCTCACCTGCAGGCTCCCCCTGCCTGTCCCAGCCCCTCTCCAGCCCCGCCAGCTGCCTGTGCCCGAAGCCGTGGAAACGGGCAGGCCGGCCACGCATTCTGAGCCGTGGGCACTCTCCTAGAACGTTCACTTTTTTTTTTTTTTTTTGTGGTACGCGGGCCTCTCACTGTTGTGGCCTCTCCTGTTGCGGAGCCCAGGCTCCAGATGCGCAGGCTGAGCGGCCATGGCTCACCGGCCCAGCCGCTCCGCGGCATGTGGGATCTTCCCGGACCGGGGCACGAACCTGTGTCCCCTGCATCGGCAGGCGGACTCTCAACCGCTGCGCCACCAGGGAAGCCCCCACCCTCTTGATGCCCACCTGTTGACTGGCTCTTAGTGCAAGGTGCCTCCTGCTACGATCCTGTCCCTCTTCTCTTCCATTCATCCCTGCCTGCCTCCCTGCCCCACGCCCGCCGCGTGTGTGGTGCCTGATGTCTGTGGCTTGCTGCGAGAGAACCTCTGAGGGTGTGGCAGGAACAGCCCACCTGTCACTGAACCTGCTCGAGTGCGGGCCTCCCTCTGCAGTGGAGAGCACGGTCCCAGGCTGGGGGCCGGGCAGAGTCCTCTAGACTTAGGGCAGAAGAACAGACTGAAGCTCCCTTTTTGGGGGTTTTGGTAGTTTTACCCTTTTCACCATTCATTCACTTCTAACATGAATACAGGCTTCAGCCATCACGGTCACCTGCCTTGTTGCGACTCAGTTCAACGCAGTGGGTAGTCACTGAGCACTGTACCAGGAGTCCAGTAAACTCAGGACGCCTCTGTTCTGGTCTCTGCACCACCACCACCCCGGCCCCCCGGAAGGCTCCCGTCACGTGGAGAGCGTGCGAAGTAGGCAGCAGGAGGGAGGGACAGGTGAAAACGCCATCACGAGGGCACAGGGGAGACAGAGAATTCACGCTTCCCCACAGGGCCTCCGAGAAAGCATCCCCAGCAGGTAGCGCTGCAGCGGAGCCTGGAAGGAAAGTGAAGCCCTTCCTCCTAAAAGCCGTCACAGGCAGAGGTTTTGATTATTTCCTGGAAGTCAGACATCGTTGACAAAACAGAACATTCTGTCCCCGGGGGTGTCCCTACATCTCTTCTCAGGACGATTGCTCCTGGCAGCTCACTGAGGTTAGATGGGGTGACGATGTCCCTCGGCACATGGCCTCACACCAGAGGCCTGAACTGTTGTCTGCTGGACCAAAAGGTCTTCAGTGGGTAAAGATGGTAGGAAATGTTTACTGTGAACAGTAGAGGGCAGTGACAACTGTCACGAGAACTGTCCGCCCTGCTTCACATTTGTGGCTAAACGTCGCCAGCAGCAGGCAGACTCGTTATGCAGAGGTCCTTATGTGCTCTGTGCTTGCAGGGCGGGGGGGGGGAGTTGCAAACCCAGTTGCATTCAGGCAGGAGCATCGGAAAGAAACTCCCCAGGGAAATGGAGTGTTAATGGTCAGCATTTGAAGCTGCTGAGAAGAAGGCCTCTTTGTCACCCTTGCCTATTTTCCTGGTACATTGATGGAGGAAAATGGAGCGAAGTCCAGGAAACACAGACTCCCATTTCACACACTGGTGGCACAACTTTGACACGTGCCCACGTCTTAGGGTCTAGGGATCGACACCGTTTCAGGTAGACAAGCCGTGGGCGTCTCGGAGCAGGAGTCATTCGTGCGACCCAGGTGCTGCGCTTTGCTTAGCGGGGACGGAAGGCAGCCCTTTGCATCTGCTGGGTCTGAGCCCTGTTTGTGCGACAGCCCCTTGCAAAGTCACTGTGGGTCTTCATGACCACAGCTGCGTGTTGTGCCTGTGTGTGTGTCCTTGAAACTCCACCACGCCCGTAGTCACGGTGGGCATCTCAGGGCCCGCCGTCCAACCCCACGTCTTCAGGGATGGCTGTCTCGGGCCCAGCCCACCTGGCCGGTAGTTGGCAGGATGTGGGAGCAGGGAGTAAAAGGAAGCAAAGAAGACCTACAA